AAAAAAGTCCGGCCCGGTCCGGACCCGTAACTTTTGTCCTAATAGAGGTCCGGCCCGGCCCGTCTTGCATTTTGTAGAACCCGGCCCGGCCCAAAGCCTGTCCGGGCTTACCCAGCCCGTGCAGATCTTTATATAATATATATTATATATATAATTAGGTGTCTACCTTACAGGTGTTCTTATATTCTGTGTATGCCGCAGGACTTACAAGTATTTTGATTGGATTGCTGAAAATTTAATGAAAACAATTTTGAGTGTAGTACCAATTATTTTATTCAAAATTCATAGGCAATAATTTTTTAAAGCATAGTGAATTGTTTAGTTCATGGCTAATACAACAATATAAAGTTTATTCTAAAAAAGTTATAACAATTTATTAACAGATTACTTTAATGAAAACGTTCAATTTTTTTTAATCTGAGAATTGACATCCCCATTAGTTAATTCTTAAGTACTGTTATTTCAATCATTAAAATAATAATTACCAATTATAGTTATTACTTGAAAATTAATAATTATGATTTATGAATATTGAGTATTAATAATTATTAGTCTTATTTTTAACATGTTCACTATATAGCTCACTCATAGTGAAAAATAATCCACTAGCTCACTCTAGTGACAATTTTTTAAGAAAATGCGAAATTTTTGCAAAGTTGTTATTCATTGTAATTTTTAATTGTTTATAATTTTCTCGGTAACCAGGTAACCGAATACCATGGTCATAGATTTATGTATCCTACAGAATACAAATATCGGTAGGTTATAATATAACCCAGTGGTGATAATCACCTAGTCTATGACATAAAAATCATGGTATATTTTTCTGATTGGGGGGAGGGCACCTTATGGTATTTTAGGGTACTGCATCCAGAATTCACGTTAAAAATAAATGTTTAAATATTGTATTAACTATATGTAAGTGCTTTGATTTGCATCTGATGGTTACGTTTTTTAAGAATGTGGTGCTGTTAGGAAGGGGAGGGGGGTGATGTCATAGTATAATATTTTGAACACTTCGACGTCACTGAATATGCTTG